CGACGGAGCTCGGCCTCCCGCTCCCGCCCGCGGGCCGCGGAGGTCGGGCCGAGCGTTCATTCATTCGTGTCTCCATGTGTTCACTGAGGATAGATCACAGCGCCCGAGCCCAGGACGCTGGCGCGGGGCCGGGCGCCGAGGGTGCGATGGTGAGCGGATGCGGCCGCCTTCGTGCCCCAGTGTCGGCGTGCGGCAGTGACAAGTGCGTGGCGTCGCGCGGAGGCTCGTTCACCTGCCGCTGTTCTCTCCTGCACTTACCATTCATATTTTGCTTCTGTGCTTTTCTATTTAGAGTGCTCTTGTGCGGCTTGCTGTATCCACACCATTGCCTTGAACGTGGGCACCGATCTTGTCGTTTATGGGCGGCTTTTCGAGGGTCATTTCGACTTGGAGCTGCACACACGCACACCTACGTAGTCGTATATGGAAGCAGAAATACAGCTTTGCTGGGTGTCAGGGAGCGAGGAGAGCTGCGGCGATGGCGAGGGGAGGGCGCGCTCCAAGCTGAGTGGGAAGTCGCAGCCCAGAAGGAGGAAGGCGGCGGGCAGGCGAGCGGATCTGTATGTAGTCAAGTCCAGAAGGAAAGCGCGGGCTCGAGACCCCCGGCGGAGGCCGGTCGAGCGGCTCCCCACGGCTCCCGGCGATAGGGTCACCTCCGGCGACCTTGAAGCTGGCGCGCTGAGCCGAGCCGGCGCGAGCCCCGGGAGCTGGGCTGACGCGTGGCCCCGGCGGAGCGCACCCTCGTCTCGGCCTCCGGCGAGGTCTGCCGCCCCCTAGGCCACGCTCTCTCCCACCAGGAAAACCGGCCTTGAAATCGCCCACAGCCGCGCCTTTCGGCTTCAAGGCCGCCTTTGTTTCTTTCAGACTTATTTGGTAGCTGTTTAAAGAATGACCTGGGGAACCCCCACCTCCAAGCCCCGCTGACGTTCGGAGGCCCGCCTGGGTCGCGGGGTGGGCCGGGAGGAAAGGGAAGGGCGGGGGAGGAGGCAGTGCGTTTACTTTAAATTAAAATGACATGAGAATGATCTTTTTGAGACATCCCCAGAAAGCGTTGCCAGCTGTGATCGCACCCAGTGTGAGAGCATGAACTAATTTAAGAGGTGAGAGCTGAGTAATGAGGCCTCAACCAGTGCAGCGCCAAGACTGGCAGCTCTGGCGGTGGGTGGAAGGGACCTGGAGAAGCACCTTGGAGTGCCAACCCGGTTCTCTCAGTACCTTGGCGCTGCATCGCCGGTCCTTCCGCAAGTGTTTGCTGGGTGCCTTCCGAGTGCTTGCTGGGTTGCAATCAAGAACAAGAGATGGGGGACTGGGGAGCGATTACCTAGAAGGAGGTGGTGGCCAGCCTCTTCCTCTTTCTCTTCATGGTGAGCTTCTGGTGGGCAGTGTCCAAGCCTGGACAGCCATCTCGGTGCCAGTGATGACCCATCTTGCATCTCCATCATCAGCCTCTCTCTGTCCATACCTGTCCTTCTAAGGCGTTGCTGGAGCTTATGCATCCTTACACTTATGCATCCTACAGACATGTTTAGCTGGCTCATACTGTGTCTCCCTTCTTGCCTCCCGTACTCAGCCCTTTCCTTCTTTCCCTATTCCGTGACAACAGCTGCACCCAAGTAGATGTGAACACTCTAGGGACGCCCACCTCCAACCTGACTCCATTGCTGTGTCCTGTTGTTTGAACCATTCCCAAATGGCTGCCTGTCTGGGGACCATCACTTCCTAATTTGTCCTCCAGAGATTAGTGAAGAGTGACCTCCTGGCTCTCCTATATGCTTCCATTTGATGACACCTATGGAGTGCCATGAGAAATGTAGCCCTCGGTGTTCTCCAGTGGAAGTGGGATTTCAGATTGGTGACTCTCCTGGCTTTCCCTTAGCCTCATTCACATAGACTGTGCTTAAAAAGCAGTGAATATTAATTTAATGGTAATAGATATGTGCTTTCTTGAAGTGTGAGGATTAAATGAGATCATGTATATAAGGAGGAAAATCTGAAACCTCGAAAGCTGTCATGTTTATTTTTACTGTTGTCGCCTTGTTAGAATCAGAATTCTTTACAAAACCAGTTCAATTGACTTAAGGACTTTATTTGATGAATGCAAAAAGCTTAGGGGTAGGTCCTGCCATTTGAAATATGACTGAATCTATCAATCGAGATTACTAGGATCTGTATTCCTGTTTTGGCTTCATTTTCAGACAAGTCTTTTCCATCTGATAGCTTCTTGGAAGGCACTACCAACTTAGTCCTAGCAAGAAGAAGAGAGCATTTATTCTTCAATATTTGTAGCAAAAGTCACGGCAGTTTGAGTACCTGCCCTTCTCTGAACATAGAGAATAGACGTTTGAATGACTAAGCTTGGATTCAAGTGCCTTTCCCTGGAAAGGGGTCTGCTGTCAGCTCCACTTGGTCTCCAGTAGAGGGGTTCTCAAAATGAAAAGTAGGGCAGAGATGCTGGGCAGCAGAAACAATGATTCCACTTCAGGCCCTCCCAGGCATTTCAGACAATAAGAATGGTGATGAAGACTGATAAAGCATCAGAACAATAGATGTGTGTGTGTCATGTTCCTTTTTGGTCTTCAAGACCTCAGCTAAACATGAAGTCAGTTACTGCCCACCATGATGTTATGTGAGGTTCAGCTTTGAAATGAAAACATATCTCAAACAGTAGAGCCAGATAAGTATAAGTAGATAATTGTAAGTCTATCCTAAAAGATTTCTTTGGTAATAATTCCATTGGATTTATTTTATCTTTCAATTTTTTAAGTTCCTAAAAAGATGAATTTTTACTTCTAAAATTTCTCATTTATCAATTAATGAAAAAAATGAAAATTTGAGAGAGATACTCTGAAAAATAAAGGATCAAATTAGGTGGTTTCTGAAATGTGAGACAATAGAGTTTAACTTGCTAGGACTTTTCAGGTGTTAAAATATTAGTAATTTATTATAGAACCATCTTCCTGAGGCTTTTAAAGTGGTAGGTTATAGAAATTTAGGGAACTGCAAGATTGCAAATAAGGAATTTATACTGTTACTGTCATGCTTTACCTGATGCTTTAAATGTGCTTTTATATTTTGGTGACGTCAAAGGTTTACTTCCTCTCACTATGTTCTAAATTTCCCAATACAGTGTGTTTTCAGAAATAAATATAACTGCAATCTTGATAGATGTTATATTCATGGCAACTCTATCCAACCCCCACCCTCTACCTCACACTCTGGGAAAAAAACAACCCTCTATTATTTGAATGAGAGAACATTTTTAGGAAAAGGGCGATACTTTCTCACAGGGTAAGGAACAAATCTATCCTTTTGTTAAATCAAAATAGATCTCTAATATTTATACTTATCAAACAAGATTTTATCTCTTTTAGTCTCGATTCAAAGGCCCAGACAGGACCGTTTCTTAGCATTTAGTCTATTTGCTCATAAAGCAGAAGAGAAAAGCTACTTTGTTCTGAAGAATGTTAGATTTAGGATTTCAAAGGTCAAATTCATTTCAAGTTAATGCCTGGATCTAGACTATAAAATATGGGAATTATTCTAAGTTGCACAAAGGATGAACTAAAACCTGGTATTTTAACTTTCACTAAAACCTCTGTCTTCCTGGGCATGTATTTTTTTCTGTTCAGATTCATTTTAAATGCAACATTTTGCTGTTTAAGTTTTCATAGTTACATTTCAAAATTAGCTGTATAATTGGATACTTGTATAAAATATAGGATTGCTTTTAATGAAGGCTTGATTTATTGGTAATATTGTGATTCTTAAAAAAATTTTTTTTGAGCTTAAGAAAATGAAATAGTACGTTTAAAATACCATTAGCTTTTGTGTTAATACCAAATTATACATTTTTATTAGCCTCTGTTCAGACAGAGATAATATGTATGCATATATATAGTTTATATATATGTATATGTATCTTCTAAATTAAGAGATACTGGCACCATTTTTTAAAATGATGCCTTGAATCTGCTGGTAGGAATTTTGTGTGAAGCTGTTATTGAAGTAGATGACATTAAGGTCAAAG